TCTGGTGAATGTTGCATCTATGCTGCTGGTTGTTGCCACTTTCATCATTGCTAGATCCTAGGCTGTTAGTGCATTTCACTTTCTGATATGCTACAGTTGATTCCCACCACCTTCTGAGCCAGGTAGTCACTCAGGCGGATGTTTCTCATCATCCGTAGACCATGTGCGTCTCAGACATCACAGACCGAGTGGCCCTCCTGAGGGTCCTGCAGGCACTCTAAACAACTGGCCACTGCTTGTTTAGCACTATAAAATCTTAAAGGTTCTCACAGGGATACACAGAAGTGCCTGAAAAAAAAATCAACAAAGAAGAAATAAATACAGAGCTGATTGCGTGCGTTTTGGATTTTCACCACAGCAGACCCGTATCCACCCAGATGAATAGAATGGAAATCGAAGCAGATTTAGTCCTATTGCAGACAACGAATTGCACATGAGTGGAGACATTCCAACAATAAAACAGTTGTATCCCTATAGCAAGTGACATGGACCACAATTAATCCATTGAAAATAGAAATCCTTTTGTCAACTATGTCTACTTTCAAGTTGGTTTTCTCAGTGGACCCGGTACCCCTTTCATTTGTTCTTGCAGATATACCCTTTTACTATGCCTCTCACGCGCAAGGCTGGCCATGTTGATTGTGGTTGAGCAACAGCTGCCCACACCCCCGTGTGCCTAAGTTAATAGCACACTTACATGTCATGGAAGGAGGCACAGTAAAGGGGGAGGTATACTCCTGTTCCTTTTTCTTCAGATATTCACCTCATAATTTGTCTGTTCTTTTAATGATGCTCATTCGCATGCATTTACTAGTAGTACACAAGGGTAGGAAGAAAGGGAAGGGGTACGAGGCGGAGTTCTATAGGGAGTGAGAGACAGGGGAGGGAGAAGGGGTAGGGGTTAAAGTAAAGTGGCAAAGAATAGAACAGAGATATGATGAACTTCACTGGGTTCTAACTGATTGTGTGTGTTATAGATTTTCCCCACAACAGCCCCAATTCCACCCACTGGATGAATAGATTCAGAATCAAAGCAGTGTTTGTCCTATTGCAGACAACGAGAGCATTTGTGAAACGGTTTTCACCTCTTTGCAGTAGCAGACGCAGATCCCAGAGTTCGATCCCTAGACCTTGCCCTATCTATGTACAGTACTTGTGTAGACCCCGAGAGTTGAACCTGTGACCTGTGTATTCGTAAACAGTTGATAGGCGGTCATAGGTCCGTAGGTTGTAGGGCTTTGATCTGTAGATCTGTACAATAGAAGTCTTCGTGAGTTCCAGAAGTCTTAGCCGTAGCCCTTCTAGAAGCTCGGCAAGTGGTGAAGTGGTGAGCCAAGTGGTGAAGTGGTGAGCCAAGTGGTCAAGTGGTGAGCCAAGTGGTCAAGTGGCGAGGCAAGTGCAAGTGGTGAAGTGGTGAGCCAAGTGGTCAAGTGGTGANAAGTGGTGAGCCAAGTGGTCAAGTGGTGAGCCAAGTGGTCAAGTGGCGAGGCAAGTGCAAGTGGTGAAGTGGTGAGCCAAGTGGTCAAGTGGTGAGCCAAGTGGTCAAGTGGCGAGCCAAGTGGTCAAGTGGTGAGCCAAGTGGTCAAGTGGTGAGCCAAGTGGTCAAGTGGTGAGTCAAGTGGTGGAGTAAACCGCAGTGCGATTGCAGTACGAGTCCGGTGGGATAGCAGCGAGTCCCCAGCCAGTCAGCGGTAAGGTCCAGACAGTCCCAGTCGAGTCCAGCAAGTACCACAAGCGACTGTGAGCACCATGGGCCGATGGCAAGGGGCAGACCAACGAGTTTCAGAAGTATAAATCAAGAGGCAGCGCCCAGCCATTCATYCATTCCTGCGTGAGCCATGCGGAAGTGCTGCCACAGTGACTTGTGCAAGGAGGTCTGCAGTGAGCCTGGAGCTGAAGAGGGCGAGACAGGAGTGTAGCATAGCGATAGGGTAGAGGCAGCCATAGCTGCCATAGCTGTAGTTTAGTGTGAAGTGTGTGTGTGTATGTGTGAGTGTTCAGAGTGATGTGTGTGGGATATCCAGGGTGATCCGGTGTGTGTGAACAGTGAGTTGTTTGGGCGCTGAGCCACCATAGCCAGTTGGAAGTGAACTCATATCTGGATGCCATATCTCTGAGTTTTGAGTGGGCGCATGTCGCCAGTTTGCTGCGGTACTGTTTACATGCATGAAAAGTGTGAATGAGAATGGGTCTGATTGCATTGGTATCGGAGCTGGTACCCGCTATTCCATGCGCGCCGTCGTATGCAGGGCCTGAAGCGCCATAGCAGAGGTGGCTGCCGAGGGGTATAGTCCGCCATAGCGGATCCGAAGGTGGGAGAAGCCGCCGCGGACCTGCACTGAAGACCACGACGAAGAAGAAGACAGAGAGAGAGAGAGAGAG